TCTCTCTCTCTCTCTCTCTCTCTCTCTCGCTCCCCTCTATTGTCTTCAATGATGAATAACATAATAATTAAGTTTTGGGAAATCACTTATCAATTAAGCGCAAAAAGGGAGACAAATATTGACTTTTAGCGCTGACAACACATACAGACAAACACATCAACCTTTTATCTCATAAAACAAAAACACATCAAAATCTTTATGTCAAACAATATCTAACATTTACTGTCATTTTGATTGTCACCAAAAATAACAGGAGATGTGCTGAACGACACGTCCAATCAGATCCACATTCAGCTCAAAACGCCGGGAAGTCTGCGAATGTTTCACCTGAAGCCCAAAGACTCGGGTGTATACAAGTGTATGGCCGAGAATAGGCACGGAATCGCTCTGTCGTCGATGGAACTGCTGGTGAACGATATCGACCTCCACCTCTTCGCCCTCAACGTGGCCTCCACTTCGGTGACACTGGTCTGGAACGGGACGGCCAGGAATCTGTTCCCCGAGTATCAGATTCTGTACCATCGGATCGACGCGAATGCGGTCAACGCCAGCGCCAGTACCGCCGGCACCACCGGCTCCGCCACTAAGTACGAGACGGTGACAATACAGCACTTTCTCCGCTCCTATACTATCAATAATCTGATGCCCGAACACAAGTACAAGATGTGTATTGCCATCAGAGACGATGACATCGCCGACATATCGGCTAATCTTCAGCTATCGTGTACTATAGTGCAAACGGCACCGGCCTATACGGTCGGATCGATGACAGGTATGTCATATACAGTATTATATCTGTGCAGTTATTCACTACTCTATGTAATTATTCATGTCGTCCCACAACAACTAACAAAATACTGAGATTTTTTTTCACCAGAATATCAATAAGAATACCACTCTCTATAGAATTGAAGCAAAATCTTATACAATAGGTTTTGTGTGTATTATTTTGGTGCAGAATATTCTGTACACAAAATGTGTTAACAAAAGACACTATTCAATTGACTTTGTCGACAAAGACATCATGTTTTACGAGAAAGCTCTCTCTCTCTCTCTCTCTCTCTCTCTCTCTCTCTCTCATTATAATAGTGTAGACTCTAATTATTGTCATTGAATACAAACATTAGACTATTATTTAACAACATATTCAAATAACTAATCCTATTGTAAAATAATATATTGATATTAAAGTCAGCAATATTTCCAAACTATTTGTATTTAGCCAATGGATTAATGTCTGGCATTTGATTACATTAATTGCATCGAGAAATTACAGTCGAAATCATTGCTTGAATACATTGTTAGCAAATGTTTTGAATGTGTTTTTTGAAGTAAATGAGAGGATGAGAAGACTGGAGGGACAGAGAAATCTCAATCACAATCTCTATTGTAAGATCACATGTAATCTTATGATACACTGAAAGTCACTCTCTCTTTGAATATAATGGAGAGAAATACACAAAACCAGTCAAAAGCTAGACTGGAGGGACAGAGAAATCTCAATCACAATCTCTATTGTAAGATCACATGTAATCTTATGATACACTGAAAGTCACTCTCTCTTTGAATATAATGGAGAGAAATACACAAAACCAGTCAAAAGCTTAACTTCAGAGGAGAAATAAAATAGTGTCACAGAAAGTCAACGAAAAAATACAATAATCTGATCGATAATATTGAATAGAAAACTGCAGAGAGAGAGAGAGAGAGAGAGAGAGAGAGAGAGAGAGAGAAATTGGAAAAATGAGTTGTATTTTTAGGTCAAATGTTAGTTCTCGAATCAATATATAGTTTTCCCAATGAATTACATTTTCTTTCACACCATAAGAATCGAGAGAATAAATACAAGAATAACTGTTTGTTAAGAGAAAGAAAGAAAGAAAGAAAGAAAGAAGAGAGAGAGAGAGAGAGAGAGAGAGAGAGAGAGAGAGAATATTTAGAGATAGACAAGTGGTAAAAGCCATCTCATTGATAACCTTTGCTAATTGGCAATCAATGATCCACTAATCGGTGTCCATATATATGATAACTAATGGGAAATGTGTTAAACCCCGTGGATTAGGTCACGTATCCAATATGGCAGTGGCGCTGACACTATCGGTGTTTGTGTTGATGCTGTTTGTGATTTGCTTCAGTTTCTGTGCCGCCCGTCAGTACAACAAGAAGTTTCAATACGAAACGCCACACAAAGCCCTCATCGACAACATGATCATCATTCCGATGGACAATATCTGTTCCCCACTCATCGCAGCCAATCATCACCACAACAGCGGTTCCGGTGCTAATCACACCACCGCTGCCATCGATCACAGCAATACCAATACCATCGCCGCCAACAACGGTGTGACCAATGGTGACGACACCGACGAAGACAACGCTATCGTTACCACAGCTCTCACCGCCGAAGAAGTCATTTAGGATCTCATTATTTACAAAACATTCGCAAAAACCACAATCTGTTACCCATTTGTTGCAGTCATTCAAATCAATCATTTGTTTGTTTGCATAAAATTCATTAGATTTTAATTGTGTTGTGTTTTTAGATGACATAAATTTTTCAATTTTAAAGTGTAATTAAATTATTTGTATATAAAATAAAATAAATATATAGAATAAGAAAAAGTTTTGACAAATAATATATTCATTGAAATTATTGTTAAATATTATATAATGTTTGAAAAATTGGTTTTTTCAATAAAATCATTCATAATTTATTCAAATGTCTATTAAATTATTTATTATTTTTCTCCGAGAATTTCATAGGATTTGCAAAATGATAAAACATTTTGATTATTATATAATCAGCGGCTGATAGACATCGGATTTGTCGGTAAATATTTTGAGTATTAATTTAAATATAAAATTATTTCATTGATTTCTATATAATTGTAGGCAATATAAGTTTGAATTAATGTTAACAACAATTAAATACAGTTTTCATTACAATCGGATTTGTCGGTAAATATTTTGAGTATTAATTTAAATATAAAATTATTTCATTGATTTCTATATAATTGTAGGCAATATAAGTTTGAATTAATGTTAACAACAATTAAATACAGTTTTCATTACATTATTAATAATTTTCCCAATTATTTCGCAAAAACTTTGAAAATATATTTTACACAAAAATTTTAAAAAGTATTTCAATCAAAAAATTTCACTTAATTTCAAGTATTGCTAAAAATAATTTTAACGTTAATTTAAACACACAATCATTTCATTCTCTGTACTTATAATTTTGAGTTAAAATAAAATTTGGATAAATGTTTACAACAATTAAATCTAGTTTTCAATACTTTATTAATAATTTTCATAACTATTTCACACAAAATAAGGTAAATATAAAACTTTGAAAAATATTTTCAAACAAGATTTTAAACGAAAAAACTTTGATTTGATTTCAAGTATCGATACGATAAACAACAGATTCTAAGACAGCATATCTTCGGACAGCAAAATGAGTTTTAAACACATAGTAAAGGATTATTTGGGACGAGTCTTGCATGAGATCAAGATTATAGTTCTCAGAGACTATTTTAAAGACGTGGAAGTGATCCCGATTTCAGAGACAACTTCAGAAAAAAGTGAGGTCTGGGATGAAGACACCGACGGCTACTCATCCGATGCCACAGACGTAGGGCTCAGCGAATACAGCGAACAGAGACCGCGTATGGGAGTCGACGGCCCGTCACTCGATCGACAAAACGGCCAAACAGTTGTCGACACCGATGTCTTCAGTCACCAGACATTGAGACCCAAAGCCGTCAGCGGTCATCGCGAGCCCTACCATCCGATACAGACTGGAGACCAGTATAGCGACGAGCGCTACGAAACCCACTCTTACGACACCCGCCAACACCTCATCCCCGGACTGGTGTCTGAACCCCCGGCCCATCACTCCCGGGTCGGGGAAGACGACATCAGTGAACGCCATCCATACACACCGGGACTGGAGTCCGAACCCCTGGCCCATCACTCCCGGGTCGGGACGTACGACAACAGCGCACGACAACACCACCACCACATACAGGGACTGGAGTCCGAACCCCCGGCCCATCACTCCCGGGTCGGGACGTACGACAACAGCCAACGCTATCACATCCCAAGTCTGGAGTCCGAAACCCCGGCCCATCACTCCCGGGTCGGGGCGTACGACTACAGCGCACGACAACAACATCTACCGGGACTGGAGTCCGAACCTCTGGCCCATCACTCCCGGGTCAGAGCAGACGACAACAGCGCACGACATTACATCCCATGCCTGGTATCGGAACCCCCGGCCCATCACTCCCGGGTCGGGACGTACGACACCAGCGAACGACAACAACATATACCGGGACTGGAGTCCGAACCCCTGGCCCATCACTCCCGGGTCAGGGCGTACGACAACAGCGAACGACAACATCAAATGCAGGGACTGGTGTCCGAAGCTCTGGCCCATCACTACCGGGTCAGAGAGGAGGACAACAGCGCAAGCGATTACATCCCAAACTTGGTTTCGGAACCCCCGGCCCATCACTCCCGGGTCGGGACGTACGACACCAGCGAACGCCAACTATACACACCGGGACTGGAGTCCGAACCCCTGGCCCATCACTCCCGGGTCAGGGCGTACGACAACAGCGAACGACATCACATCCCAAGCCTGGTTTCGGAACCCTCGGCCCATCACTCCCGGGTCGGGGAATACGACACCAGCGAAAGCCAACACCACTTCCGGGGACAGGTGTCCGAAGCTCCGGCCCATCACTACCGGGTCGGAGAATACGACACCAGAGAACATCACTCGGCGGGTTCGGTGCACCACTCGTCCGACGCCCAC